AGTCACTTAATGTCAATTAATGATGTGTTGTATAGGTCTTAGCACTTAAGCCAGCTGTAGACCGATCGTCAATTATAAGGGATAAAATAGATCGAGTCTATCTAAGCTAGATCACCATTGAAAACCTGAAAGCACTGTAAGGCCGTTTTGTCCTAGTATAGAACTACTCCTCAGTGAACATTCACGATCCTACACGCATAACCTGAACTCAGGATCTTCGATCTCACGTGAGAACATTAAGACGAAACAACTGTCCAATGCTTCCAGGTTTTCAGTGGGGGTTCGAGCTTAGATAGACTCATGAATTCAATTGTGAAAATACTGCAATCTCCAGAAACCCCTATATAGATGTGTTTTTTTCATTGTTTATGACTTCTCAACTCATGCAAAGAACAATATCTCAAAGCCTTTTAAATGTACAATTTTGAACTGTTTCAGTATTATAACTGAACAGGTTTCTAGTAAATTCTGATTCTCTTTCAAGATGGTTCGATTCTACTTCAGTGAAGAGTACGTTTCCCGCCAAAAAGAGAACTCTCCTTATTTTATGTCTAAATGGATATATCGCATATACCTGAATTCTATAAAGCAAACTAATAAGTAATATTTTTCCATGATCTTATTACTCGTTTCTTATCTAAATTGAATTTGGTTAGCTAATCATTAAATATGTTGGAGAAGATTTGTAGCTCAGGTGGATAATTTTGTTCTCTGAGTTGGATGATTTGATCGTGGAGATTTCATTGTTCTTCTGAACGACATCATCAGCACACTTCACTTGTACCTGAAGTTTGCTATGATGATGATCTTGATGAACCTGACATTTGTTAGTGGATTCCATCTATTTTATGTCATCCAGCTTTACAAACAGTGATATCACTTATTCTGGGCTCTACTGATCTCTTGTAAAACCGAGTTATATTTTTAATCGACTAATCGGTGAGTGATAGTAAATTTAATTAGATCAGCACTAAGAAAGATTTATTATACATGACATCAGTGATTCGTTAATTGCAATTACATATAAATGTAAGACTCAAGAATTTTAACCGTAGATTGATTAAAGTTAAACTTTAATACTGTTAGATGTCAGCTCAATGGTTTAAAGGTTATGTGTTCACGAGTAAGACTGAAGGTCCTGAGTTCGATTCTTGCGTGCGTGATAGTGAATACGCAATTCTGAGTAGTTCCATACTAGGGCGAAAACGGTAGTCCAGCACTTCCAAGTTTACAATCGCAGTTTAATGTTGATTTGTTTATGAACTCAATCAGAACTTTTCTTTTGTGAACACTGTACACTAGAATTAGTTGTAATCACTAATAAGATAGTTTCTAGGTTGTTGACGTGAATTTACGATATGAAATAAATTGGGGAGAGTATAATTTATAGACGACCTTTGAACGAATCTTAATTGACTTTGAGAAATATTAGCCAATCAAAAAACAGTTAGTATCTGTTGTAACGGGTGAGACTGCAGGTTTTGATAAGCAGCGTTTTATATCGATCGTTCCAGTGACACGTAAATACGTACAAACGACCTAGTGTCCTGATTGGCCCTGCTTCCCCGTCTATCCCAGCCAGTTGAGTTCAGAACGAAAGTCACAGCCTCTGAGATATGAATCATTGCATTTCAGACATACTCTATTTATATACTAACCAAACATACCACATCGTACCATAGAAATAGAAAACAACATTTACACAATATTAAACAAGTGAAGTAAATATCGACCAATAGGGAATGTACATTTAGCGTCCAAGGACAACATTAGACTTAACATGATAACTATTGGTATATTTTTCTGCACATCCTAACAGTATCCAGTAAAAATGCAATACCAGAAAATTAAAGTGTACGCAGTTCTTTTACAGGGTTCAATAACTTGTCAAGGTTAGAAAGAGGTTTAGAGGTTCTAAAATCGTAATGCATGTAGTAAAGGAAATCATCCATATGGTTCCATAATAGTCCGCTTCTGATGCTATGATATGGTCGCAAAAACTCTTTCAGCCTCGACCACATAGATTCAATATTACTTGTGTGCACTCCTGTTGTTGGGTCCACAAAATGCCACTTGTGGATAACGACACGATGCATATAACCAAGTCTATGTAAGCATCTGTATTCTCTTCAATCACCCGTGTTACTGGTGCTTTTATTATCCAGTTCGCAACACTCATCATAATTTGCCTTGGTCTCAATCTGCATTAAGAGAAAAAAGTTCCTATCCTACCAGACTTCTCACTCCGACAATATATAATATCGAAAGACATAACGGTAGTTTGAACAAGGTCCACAAGTCATTTGGTTGCTACAATCACACATAAAAAACTATTTATTAATCCCATTTGTTCTAACCGCTCAATTATCACGTTGTCTCTAGAATTCTCTGTGAACCGATCATATCTAAGCATCAAGAACTGAAATCGGCACCGTGACTTTAAAATCTGTTAAACAATTTTAATTGTCTCGTCCACAAATTATTGTCTCACCAATAAATTCATATGAGCTATTCGACTATAAGCATATTTATTTAATAGTTTAGATTATTAGTCAATTGAAGCTAAACTACCATGAAAAACCTGGAAACACTGGACAGCCGTTTCGCCCTGTTGTAGCATTCTTCAGTAGCGCTCATTTATGATCTTTCAGGATTAATATTTATTGATAAGAAAAAGTTCTATTGAATTCTTTTCATGTTGGAAAAAGTTTGTTAGGGCACGGATTGAGAAAAACAACCAACTGAATCACAAGCCAAGCCCTCACCTGGAATCATCAGTGTCAAAGAACAGGAGGAAAACTAAAGAACAAATAACGCCGAGAAATAGAGACAGATATGAGAAGAATGAACAAAAATTGAATAGAACTAAAAAGGTGGACCCAGGACAGAGTGGGTTGGAGAATGTTAGTCAGCGGCCTATGCTCCATTGGGGGTAACAAGCGTAAGTAAGTAAGTAGTGTAGAAGTAAGTAAGTAAGTAAGTAAGTGAGTAAGTAAGTAAGTAAGTAAGTAAGTAAGTAAGTAAGTAAGTAAGTAAGTAAGTAAGGAAGGAAGGAAGGAAGGAAGGAAGGAAGGAAGGAAGGAAAGAAGGAAAACGTTTATTCTATTGAAGTGTTGCCTACTTTTTCACTATCTCTCTATTTCTTTCTCTCCCTCTCTCTGTGTGTCGCCTGTTCACAAATCTACGACATACATTTGATCTTAATAGTTCAATATACAACTGAAAATAGCACTCAATAAATGAGAGGGAAGAAAACGAAAACAAACAAGCAATTCTATCCATTTTGACATAACATTATGAAATATTCTCGTTTGATTGTTATCGGTGTTGTTGTCCACCTTTTTTTTCTCTCTTTTCTTTCTTCTTCTTTTTCTCGTAGAATTGAATGAAACTATATTTTGTAAACTGTGTTAGATACAAACATGTAGTCAATGCATATTACTATGTGTATTTATATTATATAAATAATTAATGAGTCTTAACGAAGTACATAATGGTATAACAACTGTTACATATATATATGTACTATTGGTTGAAATTTTACTGGCAACTTTTCTTTTTACTACCACTTTTCACCTTAGATACACAGTCAGGTAATTTATTTTTAACTATCAAGAGAAATTAAGTACATTTTATAAGAATGGAGTGAGAAAGGGAGGGGAGCTTGTGGAGATTGTAATAATCAATGTAAGCTAGAGCACTATTGAAAACTTGGAAGTACTAGTAATAGTACTAATTCTAGTATGGAGAAACTGTAATGAGTGGAATCCAATCTATGTCGAGTGGAGACAATAAATGAAGGGTTGTGCAAGACCATGGATCAATTGACATTAGACATTAATTAGATATCGATGTTGCGCATAAGAATGAACCTCCTGGTTTCGAGACCCTTAGGTGAGGTATCTTGGACATAGATTTTTGAGCAGTCCCATACTTGGACAAAATGTCCGTCCAAGGCTTTCAGTTTTTCATTGATGGTCTAGCATAGATCTATTCATGAATCCAACTATTAAAAACTATATTTTAATTGTGGTTTCATCGTGGTAATAGTGTGGTGTGTGCTACTTATATTCACGTAAGTAGTATATGATGTTAGTCATGAACAGAAGGTCTGACAGCAGAGAGACAAGAGGATCGAACAGTCAAGAATGGAAACAAAATGCAATTTGTATGAAAATGCAAGAACAATGAAGTCTGAGTCATTTTGAGACAATTGATGGACATTTTGCAAATTAAGCATTTACTTTATGATTGTTAGATTTTATTAACAAGTCCTGTAATGTTGTGTTAAATACATTCGATTGTCCCCACTCGTGTTCTGTTCACTACAGTAGTAGTAGTAGTGTAGTGAGCAAAAAGAATCAGTGGGGACAACCGAATGTATTACAGAATCTCTTAGTAAAATCTGAGAATCATACAGCGAATTCTTCATTTGCAAAATATCCATCAATCATCTCAGACTTCATTGTTCCTTCATGTAAACACCAATCCTTCTGTGTTCTCATTCTTTTCTTCTTCGATCTTCTTAACGTTCTACTACCAGACATTTCATTTTCTATTGATGATACATAATACTTATGTCTATCGACATCTCTAGTACACATCATAGTAGTAATATGAGTAATGAAATAAGACTATACATAATTATAGATGTTAATAAACAAAGATGGATAGTAACTAGTTGTGTGTTTCGTCCTATGTGGAACTCATCAGTTGGATATAATATAGACATTATAGAAACATCTAACATTATAATAATGATAACCACTTCATACAATATCATACTGTATTCAACATAATACACAATAAAAGCAAATTCATTAGTGAGTGCCAGTTTGTAAATAAATCTGTTGTTTTTTTTTTCTTCTCTCACACTATTTTACAGATGAATAGTTAACCATTCAGATTGAATTTAGTTTTAGGTATGTCGGTCTATCGCCCCGGAAACAATCACTCTCTCTCTCTCCACATATATATATGGGTCCCATTCTGTATTATTCATATTTAGATTAATAGACTGTCATAAATATATTATATTTCTTTCTATCGTTTATTTCTATTTCTTCCCTGTTGTCACATCTAAATGAAAACCCAACTACAAATATTCGTGGTGTGTATAAATAAACACACATATATATATAAATATGGATAAAGCTTAACGATTTCATCCCTTGTAACATTCTATAAACTCAGGTATATCAATGTATATTCTGTTGATCATGGCTTGTAAGTAGTATAGATGTATGTGTGTATGTATCTATGTATGTATGTGGTTATATGGGCAAGTACTTACTTAAAAGGATTTGTTATCTATGAAACAATCCTTAGAATTTTTTTTCTAGAAGTTCAAATGTAACAGACATATATTATTATCCAAGGCATAAGACAACGGACATAGATACAAATAAATATTCTCCCACCCACCCCTGTACCTTATTCTTTTTTTTCCCGTTTTAGTCACCATCATCATTTGCATCATTTTCAATTTTAAAAATAAATAACTTTTACAATCGTTATATGATAACAGTATCCTGATGATCATTCGTATATCTATGGAGATCAGTTTGTTCCTTTTTTCATATAAATCATAAATGATCATGATTTAGGATTTAATTATACTGAACATGAATGATGATGATGATCATTCATTGATTCATTCATTCATTAAAACATTCGATATTGAATTTATTCAATTCCAATTTCACATGGATACATTGGATAAATAAACTTTCATTTAATTTATGGAATTAAAAAAACACTACTACCAACACCATCACCCCACCCCCTAATGAATCCTTCAAATCATTATGATATAAGTAAGTGAATTGATTGTTTATGGGAAAAAAATTAATCTCCGACCCTCCCCCCGTTTTTTTTTCTTTAATGTAATATTCATTCATTAATAAATGAATGAAATTAGACATTAACACTGTTGGATACTACGTAGTTCAGTAGTCTAGAGGTTAAGATCGATAGGTCCCGAATTTGAATCCTGTGAGTGGGATTGTGAATGTGCACTGATAAGGAGTTCTATACTAGGACGAAATGGTCATCCAGTGCTTTCAGGTTTTCTATGGTGATCTAACTTTAATAGATTCATGAATTCAACTATTAAAGAGTTAAAAAAAACTGTTGAAAACTTTTTAGAGTTAAGTAATTATTTCATCGATGTTTTCTATCTATAATTATGTTTTAAATAATGAAATATAGAGAATTTTAGGAGTTTCTAATGAATGTGGTTTAGTTATTTGATATGAATTATGTTTTTGATTGAGATCATGAACCGATCGATGTTAGATCACAGTTGAAAACTTGGAAGAAATGGACAGTTGTTCCGTCCTATCACAGAACTCCTCAACAGTGCACATCCACGATCCCACTTGAGGGATTCGGTTCCGTGTGTGAACGCTTAATCTCTTGACCACTAAGACGGCATTCAACAGTGTTAATGTCTAATCTCAACCAATTCATGATATAATAATAATAATAATAATAATAATAATAATATTATTATTATTATTATTATTATTATTATTAATGGCTTTATTCAATATTATATTTCTGGTACAATGTAGAATTCCCAGGTCAAAATGTGTCACCAAGTTACCGTTTCTTATTTCATGATCGATTCTGACGACACATACTGAAATCTCGTGGTGATACTAAGCAATTGTCTTGTAAATTATTCAGTCAGGATTGTTGAATTGTGATTATAACATAATTGCGATACATGTTTAAACTTAATAGGAATCAAAGATAATCCACCTTGCCAATAAGTGATTGACAGTTAGATGTTAACAGTTCAGGAATCGATATTTGAATAATGTTCATTCATTTCAATACATACTGAGAGCCATCATGATGTTTCTCATCGAGCTCTTTCGTAACTTGTACTTCGGAAGGTCTTAAACTTTTCACAAACACATCCGAAATGGGTTATATGATTAATAGACATAATGATGTGTTAAAACAAACATAATAACATATAACTTGTTGAAGTGTCTAAATGAGTAGGTATCTCAGTGATTTAAGCAGGCTTCCAGTTGAAACTCTAAATGTCCCAACTCTTGACCTAGTTGAGTTTCTCAATAGACGATAGATAAATGACAATATGATCTAGAAGAAAAATGTCATAAATAAAGATGATTGTGTGAAGAACTAGTTTATTAAACGTGGAAGAAAAACTAGTTTACTCTTTAGATCATTATGATTTGTATCTATCAAATAATCTTTTTATTTATTGCGTTATTGACAATCTTTCAATAGTGTTATAACTTGTGGTTTCGTGCCCTTGGTGCCTTGTTTTTCACCCTGTCGCCAATTGTTATAACTTGTGACCTGTGTACCCTTATTAAAATATAAAATAATAATACCGTCAATTAGAGAACAGTGAATTATCGACCGGATCAATGACGCATAAAACCTGTACGAGCTGTCTAGAGTACTTATCGGTCATGTTTCCCGCCTAGCCCTGCCTGTTAAGTCCAGAATACCAATCGCAGCCTCTGCGATATAAACCATGTAATTCAAACATACTGAGTTTATATATACAAATCAAACAGACCACATCGTATCATAGAATAGGAAATATACATTTGTACAAGTTTTAGCCAAATGTAGCTGTGAATGTCGGAGATAGTAATTGATTGACTGGACATAACTCAATAATGGTAATTCGTATCATAATAGTTTATAAATCAAAATAAAGCTTATAATAAGAGGAATATGAATACGAACAGTTTAGTTACTTAACAATTATACAATAAAAATATACACATAGTATTTGTTTATAAGTGGATCACAAAAGTTATCAATCATTATTCTCATCAGGATACACATCCCATCCCTGTCGCTGGGATCTTCAAAAAAGTGGGAAGTGTTATATCCCCGGTTGATAACTCATTGTTGTCTAATTACACATTAATAAGGACACAGGGCACTAGTTATGACAACTGGCGACGGGCTGAAAAACAAAGAACCAAAGGCACAAAACCACAAGTTATAACAAATATAATATGGAGTATAGTAATAATCTATAATATTGATTCATTATAGTTCCCTTATATTGGATTATATGCGTGACATTCGGTAACCTAATCGGTAAATGTCAGTAAAATCAATATATAAATCGGTTTGATTTGATTTAAAGGTGATTATGTTTTTCAAGGGCCAAATAAATCTTCATCTATTATCAGACCTGATTGACATTTTCAATAGTCTCTAGGTATATCGTATCCATCAATTTAGATTGAATAATTTTTAGTCAAAAAAGAATTACATATTAATCAGTAGAATGTGTTCACAACTACCTACTTAGTATAAGTTCATTGTAGTGCATCCAAAAATCCAGGATAGAAACACAAATATAATAAATTTTATATCATAAAATGATCCATAGATAGATCCTTGGTTTTAATCTCACAAGGGTGGGGTGGTTCGTGCATATACACTGTTGAAGAGTGTTATATTAGGACGATACAGCCATTTATTGCTTCCAGGTTCCCCATAGTAATACTATTCACAACCCTCCCCTCCCCTTTCTGATTAAAATAAAATAAAACACTCTGTTTTTCAACACATATTAACTAGATAAATGGAGAAACAAAAACATAATTCAGCTGTACTGGGTATGATATAAACAACTAACATCACACAAATTGTGTATAATTCAAGTCTCTGACTTTGTTTTGTTTATTCAAGTATCCATTTCCGTAATAAACCTATTACTATTAAGAATATCATTAACGATCGATTATCAATACATTGATGTTTTTACTTACTTTTACTTACGCCTGTTACTCCCAATGGAGCATAGGCCACTGACCAGCATTCTCCAACCCACTTTGTCCTGGGCCTCCTTTTCTAGTTTCATCCAATTCTTGTTCATTTTTCTCATGTCTATTTCCATTTCCCGGCGTAATGTGATCTTTCGTCTTCCTCTCCTCCTTTGACTTTGAGGATTCAATGTGAGGGCTTGCCTTGTGACGCAGTTGGGTGCTTTCCTCAATGTGTGTCCTATCCACTTCCAGCACTTCTTCCTGATTTCTTCCTCCGCTGGGATCTGGTTTGTTCTCTCCCACAGTACATTGTTGCTAATAGTGTCCGGCCAACGGATCTGAAGTATTTTGCGTAGACAACTGTTAATAAACACCTGTATCTTCTGGGTGATGGCTTTCGTAGTTCTCCAGGTTTCCGGCCCATACAGTAGAACTGTCTTGACATTTGTATTAAAAATCCTGACCTTGGTGTTGGTTGACAGTTGCTTTGAATTCCAGGCGTTTCTTAGTTGTAAATATGCTGCTCTTGCTTTGCCGATCCACCCCTTCACATCTGCATCAGATCCACCATGTTCATCAATGATACTGCCAAGATATGTAAAGGTTTTTACACGTTCCAAATCTTTTCCGTCAATTGTGATTGGATTGGTGCATGCTGTGTTGTATCGGAGAACCTTGCTCTTTCCTTTGTGTATACTGAGACCTATTGCTGCTGAGGCTGCTGCTACACTGCTTGTCTTCTCCTGAATTTGTTGTTGCGTTTGGGATAGAAGGGCCAGATCATCTGCGAAGTCTAGATCGTCCACTTGCATCCTAGATGTCCATTGTATCCCGTGTTTCCCTTCAGATGTTGACGTCTTCATGATCCAGTCGATCACCAGAAGAAAGAAAAAGGGTGAGAGTAAGAAACCTTGCCTGACACCGGTCTTTATTTCGAACGACTTTGTCAACTGTCCTCTATGCACGATTTTGCAGTTTAATCCATCATATGAATTCTGTATGATATTAACTATCTTCTGATGCACGCCGTATTGTCGAAGAAGCTTCCATAGTGTTGTCCTGTCCACGCTGTCAAACGCTTTTTCGTAGTCAATGAAGTTGATGTAGAGTGATGAATTCCATTCAATTGATTGTTCCACAATGATTCGTAGAGTTACGATTTGGTCTGTGCATTATCTATCTTTACGGAATCCTGCCTGTTGGTCACGAAGTTGGGCGTCTACGCAGTCCAATACATTGATGTACTAACAATTTATTACATCATTTCAACTTCAATACAATTATTTATTTATTTATATACTTACATCTGATATCCTCAATGGAGTATAGGCCATTAATTCACATTCTCTAAATCATTCTGTCCTCGGTCTTCTTTTCTAGTTCTATCCAATTGTTATTCATTCTTCTTATATCTGTCTCTATTTCTTGAAGTATTGTGTTCTTTGGTTTTTCTCTTCTTCTTTGACTTTGAGGATTCCAAGTAAGGGCTTGCCATGTGATAGAGTTGAGTACTTTCCTCAATGTGTGTCTTATACAATCCTAGCGCTTTTTCTTGATTTCTTCCTTCATTGGGATCTCGTTTGTTCTCTCTTCTACAATAGTTTATTACGAATAGTGTCTAGTCAATTTTGATACAATGAACAAGATTAATTCTCTCCTCTCGTTTTGTCCTTGCATACGATGGTGAGAACCAGGCAGCCTCTACTCCACTACAGAATGCAGTGAGTACCTAGCCCTCAAAGTAATAGATCTACATTTATAAATTTGACTGATCGAAGTTCAGTACTAAAATTGTCTAACGTTTCTAGGTAAAAAAGTTTCTGAAAGTGAGACAACAGTCGGAAGTGGAAATGAATAATGTTATCATGAACCGATTAAAGCTAGAAATGTTGAGGATCGGGAATGGACGCTGCTGACGAGTCCCATACTAGGAAGAAACGGCCATCTACGTCTCCCAAATTTTTAATCGTCGTCTAAAACTGATTGGTTCATAATCTCATTCAAAACTCAACATTCTCCACAACCCTATGCTCATAATT